ATGAAATTTTTAAAAATATGGGCGTGCAGGATATGACAGGTTTTACATACGAAGCAGGTAATAAAGTATCTTTTAAACAGCGTTTTTCAATTTAACTCACTTGTCTTTGCTAGTTCGATTAAAATATGTTTAGAATTTTATTTTTAAATATAGATATGAAAGGCGGTCGAAAAGTGCAAAGTGTTATGGTATTTCTGGCCAAAAACAATAAGACCTTTGACCACTGGATGGTACTTACCAAAAAAAAAAAATATTGAAAAATTTGTAATTAATCTATTTTTTTTTATTTTCACACACCATTTTTTACATAGATCCAAAGTTTATCAACCCACGAAGTAACAATTTACTTGAGCCTGTTCAGAAATCACGAAGAAAAAAAAGGCGATGACGATGGTCTAGTTAACTCCGAGAAGTTTCAAAATATCATTCAAGCTTTAAGTTTAAACGACGAAGAGAAAAAAAGTTTGGCCGATTATTTCGAAGGTAATGTTGAGTAAACAAGGCAGTTAATTATATTCCTACGGTTGATAATTTATATTAATTTTCATAGGTTACAATGCAATTAACTTCGCGGAGTTCTTATATGGCTTTTTGAAAGTAAAACCTCTAGTAAGGATTTATGGTTTTGTTAAAGGCTTGACTTAATAATAAAAACATCATAATTATGTGTTTTCGTTTGTGTTTAAATTCACGATAAATTGTTTTCCTAAATATTGTTTTATTGCTTTTTTTTTTTTTAAACTATCCTGTGAATGTTACAGTAAAGTAGCAATGAATTCTGCACATAAAATATTATTAATAAACACAAACGATGCATGCAAGTACATGTTTTATACTTACATTTTTTTTTATAATTGCATATTGGGGCGTTTAGTTTAAAAACTAGCTAAAAACAATTTTCACAAACAACAAATAATTTCTTCAGATGGGCGGTTTTAAAACCAAGATTTTCTCAACACATTTTGAATATGAGTTATAATCGTTATTTGATATTCAATAATAGTTTTACATATCGTATAATACATTGTGTCCACTTAAAAAAAATGTCTTGTAGATGGTTTTGAAACTAGATTCTTAATTTTGTGTGTATGACAATATTTATACTTGTTTATAGTAATATTATATATAATCGCTGAAGATGCAAATAAAACGGTGTGACCAACATGATTTGTCCAAAAAATGAAATAGGAGGGGTTGCACTTTAAGTAATGAATGATGATGTATGGATTAAAACGCCAAATACAAACGAACGAAATTTTTCTTGACACTTCTTTTTTATCATTTCTTATAATATCTTTGGTTAACAAAAAAAAAAAATAATAATAATAATCTCAGCTTTCTGAAAAAGAGTTGGGGGTAGTTCTTCCAAAAAATGATAACGCGTGATAAGAAATAAATGTTACATAACCTATAAAATCTGTAATACTACAGATAGTACCAATATCGATTTTACCAAAAACCCTCCAAGAAAAATTTCGTATTTTAATATCAAAAACATTGCCTTTGGTTCTTATCTGTATTGCAAATTGTAGTTAGATCTTTATCAATTATCTAATTTAAATCGTATACACTATACACGTAAAATTATATAATGTTAAATTCATAATAAATTACATTATATTATAGTATATACCTAATACCTATCTTATAAGTATATGTTATAATTTAATATTATTTGGTATAAAATAATAATAATTTTATTGAAATTTCCCACAAATTGTTTGTTTTACTATTTAAATAAAACATTATTTTTACCTTTTACCTAAATTAGTAGTTGACGATTTCAGAATTTGGCGTCAAGTATAAATTAGTTTTACCACACCTTACATATGTATTCTGTAGTTAAAGAATACAGGTAGGAGCTTATGAGCTTTGAGTTGTACGGCCTCTTTTGCATGGAACAATAGGAAGATAATAAGAATATGGCATAATATAAAATTACTGTAAACTAGATTAAACAATTATGTTATATTAATAAAAACTATCAAACTAGGGTCGCAAACTTGCTTATATATTGGTGAGATTATCAAATCAGACTGATTGTCTTACTGAATTAAAAAAAAAAGGAAAACTATAACTAAATAGTATCCCGTACCATACAAAGTATTTATATATTATAATTAAATAACTAATAACGAATTATCAAAAATAGTATTCAATACTAAATAATGTATTTAAATGTCGGTATTAAAATACCTTGCAAGACTGAATGTTTTTTATAATCTATTTGTAGGTTTTTAAAATAATTATTATTCACTATTAACTATTTTACAGAAATTAGTTTATAGTAAGCTACTCTGGATTTATATATTTATTAAATAAACCAAACTAAACAATATGAATTTGTTCAGTAAGAGTTATTGAAATGATTAAAAAGTATGATTACATTTTTGGTTAATATAAATTTGCAAGTTTACAATTATCTCTTGATTTGAAAATGTCCATATTTGATAGAAGATTTCATAGACCATATTTTATTAATCTAAGTTCTTATTCATTTAATATGGCAATAATCAAATCTCTACAATGAAGTTAAAGTTTTAATATCACACAAAAGTATTCTGAAATATTTAATACATAACAACTTGGGGATTTTATTTATCTTTTTAAGACACGTGTAAACAAATTTGTGTTGTTTTTTATTGTTTCATTTTTACTTAAAATTACTACATCTTTAAAAATGTTTATTAAAGTCTCTTCATAATTCTATTATTTTAGTTAAATTTATTGAGGAAGTAGAACCAAAAAAAAAAACACGCTTTCCTTCAATCACACTTTATGATTACATTAAAATACAATAAAACAAAGAAAGTAAAGTATAAAGTAGAAATAAGGCAAAGAAATAAATAGAAGTGATATTATGTATAGAATAGATACCTACATCAATTATGACTTTTCTGTTATTAATGCTGTCTACATTCCATTTATTAAGACATGTATACTTTTCTTATATTATAAAAAAAAAATAGAAATAATATATATTATAAAATAAATAGATACAATTGCAAGTTGCAGCATCTCATCATATTTGTAAGTATATGCTCTTATCTCGTTCTCATCTAGATGTGCTATTAAAGTTTTTTTGCCCACAAAAAGTTTAATAAGCTATAATATGACTGATTTAAATACGTTAATATTTACTAGGATTGGTTAAGGTGTGAACATTTTAATGATAAAGATGTAGCTATGGACATATTTAATGGGAAAATTAATGAGGCTATTTCCAGTTCCACTAAAATTTATATAATAAAATTATCAAATCAGAAATTAAAATGTTGGATATCAAGCGGTCTGGTTAACTCTATTTCAACTAAGTGAAAATTTAAAAACAAATTAGATAATCCCATTTTTATTTTTTATCAAAAAGGGTATAATTGTTTTAGGAATATCTTATACCTACATAGTTTGGTTAGAAATACTAGTTCAAACTAGTAGAAGGTAATTCTAACTTTATACTGTTAAATAGTTGTACTTAACTATGAAAAGTATAAAAGTTGTAGATATTTAATTTATTATTATCTTCAGGTAAGTGCCCTAATAGTTTTAACAAATGTGCCTTCATTCCTATACACAAAACGGGAAATAAATAATTGGTCAGTAATTATTATTTATTATTTCAGTCGGTAATTATAATTATTAGACTGTAGCCATTATAGACCAATATCGTTATCACTGTCTATCGAAAATCATTAAATCCTAAATAATGAATTAATATAATATTTAGTGATTAACACACATTTTCATGGTTTTCAAAGTCTTAGAGTTGAATTTAAATAAAACAAAGCATATGGTTTTCAATATTCAAAGTAATTAGTAGTAATTTAAATCTGGATAACTTAAAGTTTAGAGGTCAAAACTGTGTAAAGACACAAAATTGTGTTTCATGAATTATGATTCATATAAGATGTAACTAAATTACTATTAAAAAAGAAAATAGTTATATACCTTGATTCATTGATAACAGACTTAAATTAAAATATCAAAAATATAGAATACTATGTAATAAAACTATTCAATTATTATCAAGACATTATTTATACATATTTATAGTTATTAGCCAATAGCAGGTATTGTTAAGGGTTAAACTAACTAAGGCTAATTTATTATTTATTTGTAGAATCTATAATTATTTACTGCGTTATACTTTGCTTATGACTGCATATAAATAAAGATAACGGTGTCTGGACTTTATAATGAAATGTATATCCAACACATTGTATACTCAAACAAAGAGAGTATTCAATGTATTAAACATCCTTCATTTGAACGCATTATATAATATCACTTAATACAATATATAGTTACAAATCACTCGCTATCGAGAGTAAACGTGCTATGAGAACAGATTTAGAAAAAATACATTTGTTTTACTTTTACTTAATTGTTTCAAAAACTACATCTAAAAACTAATGCATTTCTAAATAAAAGAAATTATAAAAAAATATATACAATATACTAAATAAGCTTTGAATCTTTATCAGAATTAAATATTATTTAATATAAAATTATCAAAAAGTAAGTGGTTATTAAAACATGTTTTCAATTGTAAAATAACACAAACAAAAATGTTTCGAAAACTAATTTTACCTAATTGAAATTATTATGGGAGAAAATTAGTGAATCACATTATATAATTTAGCTAACCAAGAAAAGACAACTTTTATTTTTAAAAAACAATATTGACTTCCTGTCTAACAGGTTGCCTATAACATAGTATACATTTCAGACTAATTTTATAGTTTATAAAGTACAATTCATAAAGTTTGATAAGTCATTTTAAATAAATAATAAATTTAATAGTTTAAGACACATCAAATAATCTGGTAAATAGTATGAAATATATAGAAATATTCAATTATTTAATACATAATATATTAATCACTGAATTGACACTGATTAAAATAAAACAATTTTTTATGATGCTTAAATAAAGATAATTTTCAATTTAAAAAAGTGTATTTTATAACCTAAACATCAAAATTTAAAAATTTAAAATGGCTGATAAACTTGTTGTACAATTTTGATTGTTTTAGCAAAAAAATTTTACCGTTTTTTTTTAATTTAGGTATTCAAATTTTGACTACACATTTTTTCCCGGCCATCATCGACATAATTTCACAACAGTTTACAAATATTCACTCTTACAGTTAGGTTAAGATATTTTTACAATAAATTAATATCTTAATGTTATTAAGGCAAGTAAATATTAATAAATAATCGAATATAGAAACTACATTTATAATTTGTTTGGTAGGCTAATAATTATGTTTGTCAAAATTTTAATAGTAATATACTGTAAGTATCTTTAAACTAATACAGTTTTAAGTCTAGAATATTATAAGATACTTGTATTGACACTCAAAGTGTAAAAATATTCAAACAATAATACCAGTATTCGAAAAAAAAAGTTTAAACAATCTTAATTTTGTAGTTAGTATCTTAATGTAGTTGAAAATTTAAAATATTTAGCCAAATGAGATATCAGTGTAGTGGTTATAAATACAGTACAGTTTATATGGACGTTGAAGACATGATAATAAGTTATTGAATAAATAGACAACTTTTTAAAATTAAATTAAACAAAATATAAAGAGATTAGAGATGATACTACGATGTCTAACAGTAGGCAAACAGAATTACTGTAAGCCAATGTAAATACTACACAAGTACTGGGTGGCGTTTATACGGTTAGTCTGATACAGAATATTCTTGCAGGGATTTTGTACAAAATCCAATTAACGCCAACAACAAATATTCAAATATAGTGTCAAAAATCAGTCTTTGTATCACAGTGTCAATGGAGAAATATATGATATTATGGCCATTTAATCTTCCTCTGGTCACATTCTAGTAAAAAAAAAAACAAATGGTTAAATAATAGTAATAATAATTTTAATATAAAACCAATTTTAAATGATTTACTAATTTTATCGTTTGTTAATTGTGAAGTTAAAATTAAGTATAATAAAATTTGATAATGACATTTTTTTATACCATTTAACTTCCAACTTTTTATACTATTCAACTTAAATTATCTATCAATAACACTTAGAAGAGTGATTTCATGAATAGACTATATTTGTGTACGGTATAATAGATCAAGTGGACCTAGTTTGTTTTCCTAGAGTGTTTTCCTTACCTAGTCTATTTAGACAAACGATAAAACAATTATTTCTTCCAGTTAGTGTCAATGGAGAACTGTTCAACCATCATCTTTGACTCATCTTAAAACTGAAAGATATATTATTAATAAATAAGTTAAAAGTTTGAAATGTTAATTATTAAAATAATAGATATTAAAGTAATTAAAACAATTTTACAAAAAATAACTCCATACCTATTACCACATTTAATCGGACTAGAGATAGTTTCAGCAATCAAACCACTCTAATGAATAAGCATACCGATAACCTTTTTATGACTTCAGACGACATCATACTGTAAAACATAATTTACTTGTATTAATAGTTTTATTCAAATAGGGTGTAATAATATTGTCACACAAATTAGCACAACATAGTGTATGTATGAACTTTGTCGCTACAATAATTGATAAATATATTATACTATACATATAAAATATTGCAAGTTTATATTATGTGAAAATAAGAGTTTTGAACTATGAGTTTAAAAAGAATTCTAATAAAATAATTAATTTAATATTAATAAAAAACAAAAGTAAATTTTATTTATAATGTTTTTTTCTTATACTGATAAAAAAATAACCAACCCTTGGGTTGAACCGCATCTAATAAATAACAAAGTCACTTCGAGAATTATTCGATTGGAATTAAATGATTCAGCTAATAACCTTTTCAAAAGACAGACGTTTTTGTGATACATCGGTTTTCTTCCTCGTCTTGACTAAAAATGAATCGGCTACTTTAAACTCATAAAAACACATCTACTCATTTACAAAGATTTATTATCAAGTCTTTATACACTTATATAAAAATATTTACAATATTTATCTGCTTCTTGTTCAGATTACCTTACCCTCAAAATATGTTTTCAATAATACAACCGACTCGATTTATTATTTAATTGGCTTTCAGTCATATAACGGCTTAAACTACCTTTATTAATCTCGCATTTTTTCTGCAGTTTGAGAGTCTCCGAAATTTCCTTAGGAGAAATATATCATGCAAGTATGCCATGTACTATTCCTATGATCCACTCACTCCTAAACCCAACTCTTATGTTGTTGGTTTGAGTAGAGTAGCGTTTATGATTAGGACATATAATTACTTTCTAAGTATTTTTTCTAGAGATTAGTTTGAAGATAATATAAATATAACATTTATTTAGGATTTTGAAAAAATGTCGTGTATAATTTTTTGATTTAAATAAATAATATAACATGGTTTTGGGACTATTGTAAAATATTAATATTGTTACAATTGTTGATTATCTGTAAAAAAATGATCTAAAATTACTTATTGACAATATGAAAAACAATTTTATTAAAAGATATTTATAGAAAAATATATTTGCAGTGAGGGTATAAAATATATTGATTTCAGACAAATCAAAACTTGTGCATAATGTAATTCAGTTAGATTTAAATGGAATGACTATAATCATTTTCCCATAGATATTTGATTTGAATAAGAAATTTAAAAAATGATATATTCTTCATGCAATTTTTGTTTTGCAATGGAGATTATTCTAAATTGGAAATCCAAGATCTTCGTAATTAGATACCATAAAGATGTTTATTTCATCTTCAAAGTTTTTTTTCAGACTGCTGAATGTTCCTTTAGCTACTCCGTCCAAAAATGGTTTCAACTCGATCATCCTACTAGGAGAACACCATTGCTCGTAGGATGTGTTTAAGCGTTTTAGGATATTATTCATATCGTGTTCGATACCCAGAATGCCTTGGATAATTTCTTCTTCAATTGCGTCGTGGAAATAATTGTTGTAGTCTATGAGCATGTCAGAAAAGTCAATGATGTAATTAACATGTGGGAAAATCTGATTGATACGCGAAAGCGCATCATTCATACGTGAGACCAAATCTTTGCTCATCATAATTGTACTTGCGAACTGTGTCAGGAGGTTTGATAAATTAGACCTGCCCATATTATATTGTTTCCATAAATGTGTCACGTAGATGATACATCTTTTTAATGTTATAGCATACTTGCAGTTCAAAAAATAATATGTGTGCTTAACTTTTTCGTCTAAATTTGCTTGGGTGACTATTTTTCCACTGGATGTAGTACTAATAAAGTCTGAAAAGGTAACGGTACGATGCGGCGTTTTAATTTTTAATTGATTTAACGCCAACCATCCATTATTTCCAAGTAACTTGTTCATTATTTCTACCCATCGTAGCAATTCTGGATCATACATTAAATCAGTGGTGTTTGAATTAAAATTATATTTAAAACCGAACCTCCCGTTAAAATATTCCATAAAATTGATTGTTTCCTTCATACCTGCAATCAGTCCTGACATTATGTTTTCGGGATTATTTCCTTCGAGATATCTTTGAACATGTTTTGCATGTCTGGAAATCGCGTCATCTCGTTTCATCCAACAACAATTACCATGGAATTCATTTAGTTGTTCTAAGGTTTCCGACATTTTGTTTTCAACAGATGTAGATTTTGTCTCTACAGTGTTGAACCCTTCGCCAGCCATCGAGTCCCTGTCAAAATGTATGTTTCTGTAAAAATTGATTAAAGCATCTAGAACTTCGAACAGTGGCTTTTCAAAGGGTGTTTGTGGTGATAAATCGTATAAACACAAAAGTGAACCATGCATACACACGATTGACGGTTTCGATTTTTCGATCATATCCACTAAATATTCCAAACAATCCAAAGAATCAGACCTAGTTGTCATTGTCTTGCACGCAGAGGCCAAACCCCTCTTGTATTCGCAGAACTTCATCAACACCGTGGCAAACTTACAGCTTAAGAACTGGTGTGCTTGTATCATTTTATGGTCTACATTGTCGTTAGTAACTATCGGTCCGTCGCCATTAGGTACGAGTAATTCACTTACATCGGTTATTTTGTCGTCAATTATGCCGCCATACTCATAGTCGTACTCTTTTGTCTTGGGCCATTCAATCCATCCGTCATTAGTTAACATATCATTCATCACATTAACGCGATGCTCGGGTTCTGCATTCAACAGGAACATTTGTATGTAAATAACAAAAAAACCGAGGACACCAGCGATTTGCATTTTAAATCAAACTTGAAATACAACAAACTGAACAAAAACTTTTTTTTGTAAGTATAAAACTTTAGAAGTCGTTCAATATACGTGGTTTTTTTTACGCGAGAATGTATGAAATACTGTGTTCGCCAAAAAACGCTTTCTAGTAAAAGCATACACGGCTACTATGTGAGTGGTTTGTTTACATATACTTTTTTGGCATCAGCATGTGTTATTGTGAAAATTGTCTACAGTTTGTATTGTGTACAGGGTGAGGTGCAGTGTAAGACACTCATTTTCTCGCGAAAATAAGAATATTTTGAAATTTTTTTTTCTTGTATGAGTAAATAAGAACCGCTTGTTTAGTCAATGCGAACACAAATACGAATATTATGGGCTACTGCTTTTTTTTTTTTTTACAACAAAAAAATACGAGGAAATGTATTATCTTTATAAAGTCATAGAGAACTAACATATTGATCATAAAAATGCAAACGCTATAATATTTTATCCTTTTTTTACTATATATTAATAGAATTAAAAATGTATGTTCCCATTGGAAAAAACGAAATCCATGTTGTTTTATGTACAGCAGACGAAAATAAAAATATGATTTTTAAAAGCTATTTTTTAAATATTCATATTATCCTAGAAAACGAGTGTCTTATATCAAATAAATCACCCTGTATGTTGCAAATATTTTCAATTTATTGTACCACCGTTTGAATACTCATTTGTATTATATTCTATAGCAAGATTGCGGCGAAGTAAAACAAAAAGACGGTAAATAGTGATCGCATACTCGTTTTAATGTCCCTGCAAAAAACTTATATGGCAAAAAAAATATGAAATCGTCATTTCAACAAATAGTAAATTAACACGTACGCATTGTACATAAATATTGAAAATAATGGCTAGAAACTTCTAAACGGCATTTTATAGTACTATATGTTAAGGTAAAATTTCCAAACAAATTATAATTATATCATAATTTTTGTATAATTTTTAATTTTAAAGTTATAAAATAAGTAGTATAACAAGATTTTGGGCCTATTAACAATGAGAAATATAACATGGTAAATCCGAATAGCAAGATAACATAGATACAATGAAACAGGGGTAAGGGGTTGAATGAAACAGTGAACTGTTATTAATAAAAGTAAAAACTTAACTTTATTTATAATTATAAATGTCGACGTATAAGTTTTTTTTTTAACTTACGTTTATTGATAGAGGTTATTTCAACACTTTTTTCATAACTTTTATTTACTTATTGAATTTATAAAAGTTTTTATTTAAGGGGATTGCATGCGGTTGGTTTTTAAGGAGTTTTGTATGGGCAATATTTAAGAAAAAAGTGGTTTTAATAAATTTCGATCATGTCAATTAGTTAACCGGTTAATTTGTATAAGCTTCACGGTATTATTTTTAATTAAAATTATTTTGTCTATGAGTAAAAACCATTTTAGTTAATATAACATATATTTTTTGTTCCATCGCACAGGCTGAACCAGTGATTCGATAAGTAATCTGAAAACAGATTTGAATTCGTCATGAAGTTTACTTATGATCGGCCAGGATACTTTTTTGATATCTTATTTCTACTATGTATAAAACACGTTTGAATATTATATAAAATTTCAGATTTTAAAATCAAATTTGGAAAGGGTTAAAATTAAAAATTTTAAAAAGTACCCTGACCGATCATAAGTAAACTTCATGGCGAATTCAAAGCTGTTTTTAGATTGCTTACGATTACAATTACAATTACGATATACGATTATATATATAGTATATATGTATATATATTTTTTTTTGATAATGACTACTCAAAATTAATGCCGAATTTTCGAAATCGTATTTTTACTATTTCATTCAATAATCAGTTTTTTGTGTTTCGTGAAAACTTAAAAAAAGTGGTTCATATATGGAAATGACTTATTGCATGGAAAGAACAATTGTCAACTTATAACAAAAATTAGACAAACTACATTTTCTCGACTTGAGTTTTGTTGATTTAATATTTTAATTTATGTTTTTGAAAACATAGTAGGGAAAGTCTAATTTTCTGAACTGCTGAACTGTATATTCGGTTGCTTATATCCAGGGGCATATGTACTGAGCTACTGCAATGTGTGAGATTTAATTCTAAACATCAGCGAAGCTCTAGTAGGATCTAAACTTGTAGATGTTGAATTCAGATAAGTACACCCTATATTGTAATATCAAAATAGTATTGAGATACTGCGAGAAAGATCGGAATAGC